ATGAACTGCTAATATCTTCACATATCATAAAAGAGACATTAGTAGACTGTAATTATTACCAATTGAAAGTGATTAATTTGTCTTTGTCTCACCAGCTGGTCTGCTTGAGCTTCAAGGTCATTTGCATAGGACAAAAGATCCACAACGGTCACTCCTTTATTCACCTGTCAATCAAATAATTCTCATTCAAATGTCTTGTGTTGTTGTGCCTGTAAGTGTGTACGAGGGTGTGTTGGCTACCTCAGTTAGATAAGCCTGATAGTCGATTTCTCCAATGCCTGTGTTAGCAAAGTCAATGAGGTTATCTTTGCCCTCCTGTTCCAGAAGCAGCATCCCCTGGAGATCCACATTCACACTATTAAATATCTTGGTCAGTTCCAGGTTATACTGTTGAGAAATCACAAACACGTGGTTAAAGAACTGATGTCGTGTTCAGTCTGTAGTTATAAACACAACGCTTTTTGCTTTTTGTCTTTCTTAAATCTCTTCACGCACCACTGTGGCATTGAGAAACTTGTTGAAGTTGAACTTGGTCTCCAGTTGTAGTGCTGAATATAAACCATTATTCTCATAACAATCTCTGAGTAAGAGAAAAAGAGAGAAGCAAATCAACATTTTCTCACAGAGCAAATAGTGTGTCTAATAAATCATTAAAGGGGTATTTCACTCAAAAACAAAAATGTTGTCATCAATTACTCACCCTCATGTCATTCCACACCCTTTAGTTTATCTTCATAACACAAATGAAGATATTTATAATGAAACCTGACAGATTTCTGTCCCTCCATTGAAAGTCCATGCAACTAAAACAGAAGACTTGGTTCATGGATCACTCGATTACTTTGGATTCGTCTTTATAAACTTTCTGAAGTGGAATGGACTTTCAATGGAGGAACAGAAATCTCTCAGGTTTCATTATAAATATCTTCATTTGTATGCTAAAGATCAAGGAAAGTCCTATGGGTTTGGAAGGACATGCGGGTGAGGAAGTGATGACAGAATAACTACAGCATCTCTTTAAGATCAACTACTTGTAATTGACTTTCAGCACTGATCTTTGCTCACACACTTACCTGTACATACTGCCGATAGTAAGGTCGATGTTTGGATCTTGAAACAGCATGCCAGGAAGGAAGTTCTTTTTGGTAGGATGGACCATATATGGTGTGTCGATTATCTGAACGGCATTAAAAAAATCAATTTATTTGTCAAAAAAAGTATATTTTTCATATGCTAATCATAAAAATGTTAAATGATAATTCTGTCACGATTTACATCAGTTGTTTCAAACTTGTATGACTTATTCTGTGGACCGCCAATAAAGAACTATTAATTTAATATTAAAGATATTAAATTCACATACAAACCATAGGCCACAGGTCTAAATGTGTTCGAGGTCCTGTATAGAAGTGTTTGTGTGTAAATGCTTTACTATGTGTATGATCTGAAACTAACCCAGATTTACTTAAGGATTTCCAACCCCCTTTTTTAAACTTTTGCTCAAGCACACACACACACACACACTAGCTTAACCACAGTTTAGCATAAATACAAGGGCTCCAGTGTTGTGTGAGTTATGTAAGATTATACTGTCTGTATCTTTTCTCCCTTCCAAAAACTACACAGAGTTTGCACTTACAAGATGTGACCCAAGATAGCTGATTTACTTATGTAGAGTTTTATTTTTGTTTATAAACATAAGCGGTTATGTATTATTAAACATAAAATCAACTAGTTCCGCTGTTGTTTCTTATCATAGAGTAGTGTACTAGTACCTTAAAAATCTGTCTGTTAGCCAGCGGCTCGCAAACAAGCTTCTCTACGTTTCCCCCAACAATAAATGAGGTGACTACAACTCCCATGAGCACCCAGGAGAAGATGAAGCTGAAGCCAACAGAACTGATCACCAACAAGACCAAAAAAATGAAAAGGAATGTTAGTATCTAACTTTTAGCTATCATCAAATCTATTTTTTATGCACTTTAATTGTTTTGAAACTTAAGTGTTATTGTATATACACTGGCTGGCCAAAACAAAACAAAAAAGAAAGTCGTCATCTGGATTTAAATAAGCAAATATGTACGATTTTAGGACTGAATCATTATTGCATTGATTAATATGTTTCTGGCATGTTGTATGTTTGTGTCGCTTCATTTCTCAAACAACCATGTGGGAAGACCATATTCCAGAATGACAATACAAAAATCCAGCAGGCTCAAATTGTGAGAGATTGGCCACTACAGAGTCCTGACATTAATCCCACTGAAAGTCTTTGCCTGGCCAAAAAATATATATATATTATAAAATTTCATTGGACAGCCTTATATCGTGCATTCATTGTGGCAATGTTTCAACAACATCACGCAACATCACAGCATTAATTTCCATCAAGAGTTGCATTAATTTTTGACTCTGTAAAGTTGACTCCAGCACATCCTAAAGACTTTCAATTAAGCTCAGGACTCTGTGGTGACAACTCATACATGAAAATGATTCCTCACGCTCACTGAACCTCTATCTCACAGTTTGGGTCCAATGAATCTTGGCACTGTCATTCTGGAATATACACATCTTCCCACATGTTTGAGAAATAAAAAGCTACGCACTGCATCAGTTAGGGTTAAAAGAATCATTGTCAAACATACTACATGCCAGAAACATATTAATCACTGCAGTAATGATCCAATCCTACAATCTCAAGTATCTGCTTATTTAAGTCCAAATTGCAACTTTTTTTTTTGGGCCAGGCAGTGTGTGTGTTCGTTGTTTTGGTGTTGTCCTGATAACTCACGCCATCAGTAGGTTTCCTCCGGTGTTGGACAGACAGCCACGTGTGGTGGGTGTGGCATTTTTATCATAACCACATGATCCACACAACAGACCCAGGAAATTAAAGGTCGGAACCAGCACAACCATACAACAAATCACCACACATCCAATCCATCTAGAGACACAAACACAGAGACAAAGACACACTGAGTGAAAGTGTACACTGCATTTGTCTACAAATATTTAGTTTGTTGTCAGATTATTTTGTTTACAGAAATTAATCATTTTTTTCACTAAGGATGCATTAAATTGATCAAAAGTGACAGCAGCGACAAAACATTTCTATTTCACACAAACACTGTTCTTTTGAACTTTCTATTCAACAAAGAATCCTGAAAACTGAAAAATCACGGTTTTCACCAAAACAAACAGCAAAAGTTTTTTCAACATTGATACTAATAATAAATGTTTCTTGAGCACAATCAGCATATTAGAGCATATTTCACAATATTTTTACTGTGCTTTTGACCAAATAAATGCAGCAGGGGTGAGCATATCAGATTTCTTCCAAAAACATTCAAAAATCTTTTGAATAGTAGTGTATAAAGGAATATTTTGCTCTTTTAAATATGTCATTTATAACTAGTTCATTTTGGTTCTGCACACATCTTTAGCATTTCATGTACAGTTGTCACTACTTGAACACTTTAGATCAGGGAACACTATTCACTATTAACTAGTTGTTATTAGCATGCATATGTGACCCTGGACTTCTGCACACATCTTTAGCATTTCATGTACAGTTGTCACTACTTGAACACTTTAGATCAGGGAACACTATTCACTATTAACTAGTTGCTTATTAGCATGCATATGTGACCCTGGAGCACAAAACCAGTCATAATTTTTCAAAATTGAGATTTATACACCATCTCAAAGCTGAATAAATAAGCTTTCCATTGATGTATGGTATGGATACGACAATATTTGGTCGAGATACAACTATTTGAAAATCTGGAATCTGAGGGTGCAAAAAAATCTAAATATTGAGAAAATCATCTTTAAAGTTGTCCAAGTTCTTAGCAATGCATATTACTAATCAAAAATTAAGTTTTGATATATTTACGGTAGGACATTTACAAAATATCTTCATGGAACATGGTCTTTACTTAATATCCTAATGATTTTTGGCATAAAAGAAAAATCGATCATTTTGGCCCATACAATGTATTTTTGGCTGTTGTTAAAAATATACCCCAGCGACTTAACACTGCTTTTGTGCTCCAGGCTCACATATTACTAGCATACTGGCTGTTTATTAATACCTATAAAGCACATATTAATGCCTTATTCTGCATGAGCATATTTTAGATCACTTAATCCTTAACTTAACAACTACCTTACTAACTAACTATAGGAAAAAGTCATAGTTAATAGTGAATGTGTTCCCTAATCTAAAGTGTTTTCTTGAATTCTGTTGCGGAATGTGGTTGTCACTTTCAACCACAATGTGGTTCACTTTTTGTTTTTGAGTGACAGCTGGATTTCTCTTTAGTATGCATGTGGCACTGGCGCATCAGTAAGTGTTACAGAAGTACCTGTAGAAGTCCAGCTGGTCGATCTGTGGATAGTACGCTTCAATGTTCTTCTGGCTCTCTGTCAGGAACTTTGTGAAGTTCTCAAGTGCTGGTTCAACCGGGAACATCTTTGTGAAAGCAACTATCTCTCCACCAGACTTATCCAGCAGCCCTTTCACTTCTTCAACAGACAGAAAAAGAGAAAGATTAACTGAATATGTGTTTGTGAAAATGAGGATGACCTATAAATATGTAAATCAAGAGAGAAATATATTTGTTTTGATAGATCTCCCAATATTCCCATGAAATGAGCATCACGTCTGGCACTAAAACATCTCAGTGAGGATTAGCCTAATGTTGAAGAAACACAGCAATTGAGGAACACTTACTGGGTAAAGCTTCATGTTTAACGAGAGACAGACGGGTTCCCGCATGCAGAGGGACAAATATGAGAACAATAACAGAAAAATATTGTGATTTCTTTCGTTTCAGAGAACAAATGAGGTTAGCATGGAGAGAGAGAACAGAGAAAGCTGATGCTCGAGATGAACGAGTTTATAAAGGCAGCACATTGAGGCATCATAAGCAACATTCCCTATGTAGGCAGCAAGGCAGCACACCGAGTTTTGGGACAAAGCTAGATAGATGAATAAAAATGCCCTCACCCGACAAAATTTCTTTTGTCTGTTCTCTGACCAACCTTGGTGTGTCGTTAAAAGAAGAGTAGCCCTGAAGAGATCAACAAAAAGAAAAGCTAGTGAAGAACTGTCACAGTACATTACAGGAGACTTATAGTGGCTGCGTGATAAAGAGAGACCCATCCGACCTTCTGTACGATATTGCTGAGGTCTGTTTTAAGCACAGAATCCAGACTGGCCAAAGGTGCCTCAACATCAGGCAACTGTTGGATGAAACACAGGAGTTACAGTTAAAGCACACAGACCAACATATTGTGCTTCCACACATTTCAGCTTCTTAAAGAGCCCTTTTAGATCCATGTCCGTTCAGTTTACATAAACAATCTATATGCTAACTAATTGAACCTTTAGGCTAAAATGTACCGTGTTTCTCTTCCAGGAATATAAAAACTCACCCTGCACTACACAGATAAGCAAGCAGCCAATCATGGATCATGGCTGTTACTACTAGCTACTACTAACTAAAGCTTACTGGATTTTAAATTTGGCATGAACCAGAAATTGCAATTAACTTTTTCTTTCCTATTATAATGTACATCTGAGTCAAATGCCTTCTTGAACAAAAAAAGTTTAGGTTATGGACATGATTTTGTCCACTGGGAATATGAGGATGTTAATGTTTTTGATTAAAGACTATGAGGTTAGATGAATTTTTTTAAATAATAATGTGCACGGATGTATCTTTTATAATAAAAACTGCAATAAGATAAGAATTTTGATTTCATGGTGAATGGGATGATCTTTCAATATATCCTTTCTAAAATCAGCAAAGTGATACACTGAAAGATATCAATATTAATTTTACAAATCACTGAATTTAAAACTCAGGTATAGGGTTAGAAGTTAACATGGCAACACATTAACTAACAAGGAGCAACAATTTTCTTACAGTATTAAATAATCTATCGTTAAATAATAAATATATATAACGGTGCGGAATTGTTAGTTCATGTTAGTTCTGGTTCGCTAAATAATAACAGATGCAACTTTTGATTTTAATAATGCATTAAATGCTGAAATTGACCTGACTTTTACCTTTAATAGCACCCTCCACTTTAACTTTTATCCATAATCACAAGCAACAGAAACAGAAAGGAACATGTTAACGAGAATAATATCAATGTGAGTGTGTGTTTTGCAGTGTTGCTGTAGCTGAAACAACAGAGAATGATAGTAGCAACGTCAAGGTCATGGGTTCAATAAGTATTTTTAATAAGCATTTTATTTTATTTCTGTTTGGCTTTTGTTTATTTTTATTGATTTTATCAGTTATATTAGGTTTGTTTGGTATATTATTAGGTAATGTTATTTTTACTTGTTCTTAAAGCATCTTGTAATTAATTAATTATTTCAAATTAGTCCAGCCTCAACTGTATGACTTTAATTGTGACTTTATACCTCAAAATGTGACATTTCACAATTGTGACTTTTCAATTTGTTTCTGTGACTTGACATCTAATGATTGCGGTTTTACTACTAGTGTTTATATCTCACAATGTAAATTTATTATTTTAAACTTATTTTTGTTTTATTCAGGTTTGCACTGAAATGTCGAAATGTCACATGTTAAAAAGTAAGACCATTTTAGTGAATTCAGCCATAAGTGTGTGTATTTGTTTGGTTATGCACCTGCTGTCATGCGGAGAGCGTTGTCTAAAGCAGGCACCACTTCTCTCTCCAGCTGATTATGAATCTGTCCACCCAGCAGATTCCCAATATCTGATAAACCACGTTGACAATAAAAGAACAAATTAGTAAATGCAACTCCAACATTAAGTGCAATGATGTTCAAATGTCTGGGGTCAGTACAATGTTTAATAATTTTATTCAGCAAGAATTTATTGAACTGATCAAAGACATTGACATTGTACAAAATAAGTTATTTTAAACATTCTATTCATCAAGAATCCTGAAAAAATGGATCAGAAATATTAGGCAGCAACATTGATAGTAATAATATGCAACTGTCAACACTGATAATAATAAGAAATGTTTCTTGAACACCAAAACACCTTGAAGGACCAAAAGCAATCACTGCACGATGAATCAGTTAGAATAACCATATAATTCAAGTTACACACCCACAAAATATCCCTGATTTTGGTTTTTATATTTATATCGTTAAGTAATATCACACGGTGCCATTTTTCTAAATATTAGCGCATGAGCGTGAGTGTGATCGCAAATGAGATATTAATTTTATACAACAGTTCATCAAACAAGAAGTTAATATTGAGCAGGTGAGATTTTAGACACAATATTGCCTTTTATTTTTGCCAACAAAAATAGTTCCAGACAAAGTCGAATCAGAAGTCGAATGTTTATGAATGAATCATTTGAGACAATGATTCAATGATCCATGCATAAAGACACTCACTTGCTTCGTCTCCAAATGAATCAGCCGTTTTGAACAAATCGTTTGAATGAATGATTCAATGAATCACTAATTAAGACAGGGACTACTGGCGGTGTTAGTGTCATATTTATTTATCCATGACAGGCAAGTACCAGCACAAGAACACACTCAGAAAAATATTAATTATCCTTATAGAAAAAATCCCAGTAAATTTCAAAAATTTTTTCAATATCGCACGCCCCATTGGTGAGGATTTAAGACTCAAAAACATTCACAAGTACTTTTGAACGTTTGTGAATGTTCACTCTGATACATAAAAGAGGAAGAAAGACAGAGTACTTACTGTCTAAGTCTGATAATACTTTGTTCTTGGCTGTTGTGTACTGTGCAGAGAGATAGTCTATTTGCTATAAAATAAAAGAACAAAGACAAACAGATTTAGCTTTAGTGTGTGAATATGTTTGTGTGCGTGTCTCCATGCTTTAGATTAGGCCCACACAGAATCTGCTAATTTGTTAGTGCGTTACTTAATTTAAGCTTTGTTTACACATTTTACCACACCATGTGAACCTGTTTATGGCTTACCACTGGTGTGTGGTTCGCAAAAGATTTCAGGTCTCTTATGTTAGTGCTGACGAGGCGTCTGGTGCTCTTGATCTGATTTGTGATGTTCTGATTTGCTGCGTAGGCGATCGTCACTCCCACTCTGTAAACAAAGCAACATGCACGCGTAAGCTGTGTGAAATAATATGCTTACAGGTATTGTTATGCTTACACTCTGATATGTTGGTGAAATTGTAGATTTTGGAATTACAGTAAATTAGACAGTCTGGTCGTATCTATCACCATTAAAGCCAGTGCAGCAATTACATTTGATGGAAACACTACACACTCTGAGGAAGGGAGTTTGTGATTTCAATACAAATATTCAAAATGTAGATATGCTTGCTCTGCTGTATATTGCTGTCACTGACATACAGTAACATCAGACAGCCACAGTGTGGTACTGTTGTCATGCTGTTTGAGTAATGTGATGCAAGGGTTAAAGCTTAGGGTACAGTTAGCTTGACCTTGTTAGCCTCTGGCAGAAACATCTAGACACAAATAGCACTTTTCTCACCATTCAAAAGCTTTTTGACAGCTATTTCCCAATCAGCATTACATTTGAACAGGTCCCCAAAATCTGAAGCCTTCTTAGCCCCTATGACTCTATGGGAACGCCAAGTATGCAAGCTATTGAACCATAAATACTGAGATATCAGACAGCTTACTCATTCAGATATGACTTTTTGCAAACTTTGTAGCTAAAAAGTACACATATTTGAAGGGAGTCTTGTGGCATTTACTGCTCAGGTGACTGGTTCAATTAAACCTGGAACAAAGACGACAGATTTCAAGGATAGGATTTTAGATACGGGATTCTGCACTAGCCAAACAACAGCATTGCTATGAATGGGAATGTTATGAGAAAGTATTCTTCAGGTATTATAGCCCTACTTAGCAACAGAGCAAATTACTGTTCCCGTATTTTATCACTCAGTAATATTATATAATAAATATATATTAAATATCATAAAAAATATGATTTAAAAAAAATTCAATATTAATTCAATATTCACTAATATAATAAAATTATTTTTTATTATAAAATATTTAAATACACTACTGTTCAAAAGTTTAGGGTCAGATTTTTTTTTCTTTGTAAAGAAATTAATTCTTTTATTTAGCAAGGATGCATTAAATTGATCAAAAATCACAGTAAAAGCATTCTTACAAAACAAAAAAAAACTATTTCAAATAAATGTTGTTCTTTTAAACTATTTTTCAAAGAATCCTGAAAAAATTCTTGGTGAGTATAAGAGACGACTTTCAAAAACAATTCACCAACCTCAAACCTTTGAACGACAGTGTAATAAAAATGTATTAAAATATATAATATGTAAATATATATTTTAAAATGTCACATCAAAACACAAAACTAGGTGAATCGGTAAATGCACGCACACATACACACTGGTGCTCACATGGCCACAAACTAGAGATAACACTTTACTAATTTAGTGGTGCAGATACATATTAAATTGTGGCATCTGATTACAGATTATTGCCAGACAAACCTCCTCCACTCTCTCCTTTCCTCTCACTCCTCCTTTCTCTCTCACAAAAAAAAATTTAATAAAGGGGAAATGTGATTCAACAAAGGAAGCCATAGAGAGAGAAAAAGAAAAGAGTGAAGAAAGAAGCAGAGCAGATTTGCACTGTCATGTTCTCTGCTCCCAAGCTTCGTCCAGCATAATTACTGCAAACCTCTCAGTAAGTCATTGAAAGTCCATCAAGACACACACACACACACACACTCACAGTACAGTCTACGCCTCACAAACGCCCATTGTGACCCAAGCAACTGCTGTCAGCACTATCACAGAAAAAAAACAGGAAAGAAAAAAAGAGGCAGAAAGAAAGAGGGGGATGGGTTAGAGAAATAAAGAGGGGACTTTCTCTCTGGACAGACTCAGGGCTATCAATGTCACATGTGTGAATGTGTCTGTGTGTGTGTCATTCTAGACCACTGCAGGTGTGTTCATTACACTCTCTAGCAA